AGAGAGTAGAAAAGGGGGACCAGGGATTGAAAACATCAAACGAAAGTGCCAGATCTGAAGTGCAGAAGAAAAGACCATCCCTAGAAGTCGAAAAAGCCACGGTCGGGAGAGCCGGGCAGACGAGAAGAAGAGAAGGGTCGTAACATCGTCATTTGTCTGCGCTCGTCTGTTCCCATCTTCCATTTCTGATAGAGAAGGAGGAAAGAAGAAACGAGTGCAGACACCATAGCAAAGCGAGGAGATCGGAGGGAAAAGGGCAGAAAATGCTGATTCGGTACGGACGCCTTATAGAGTAGAAGACCGCAGGAGACGTAGGCTGGGGAGATGATACAAACAACAAAACAACAACGCAAACAAGCGACAAAAAAGCACACATTCTTCCATTTAGCTCCTTACTCCTCGGTGCCGACACCCTTCTTTTTGGGCTGGATATGTTTTTGTCTGGTATTGGCCCCAGGACCTTTTAGCTCGAGAGCAGAGCTATCCTTAGCCGGGGCCGGCAAACGAGAACCAGCATCGTGTTTCTCAGTGAGAAGGTTCTTCAACCAACGATTCTCCATTTCGAGCTGTGCAACGCGAGCCTCGAGGGCAGCGTTCTTCTCGGTAGTTTCCCGAACAGTACGTTCGAGGACCTGCTCACGCTGCTTCTTCTTCTGACGAAAGCGGGCGCTGGCAGCGGTATTTCGACGACGACGATCTTCCTCTGCGGCACCGCGTACGCCCTCCTCTTGATCGAGGGCGGCGGCGATGCGATCGCCGGAGATGGTGGTGCTGTACTTGGTGTTTCCCATTTGGCCGTTGGGCGGAGAGATGGATGAGGAAACATCGGATGGAGTGAGGGCTCCCTGTGCGTGACCGAGCTCGTCGGGCGCATATGGGACTGGCGGGTAGATTGAGTGTGCTGAGTAGGGCATCATGTGCTCTGGAAGATTGTAGTTGACGGACTTCTCGCCGGGGGGACCTATGGATGGAGTAAGCGATCAAAGTCGATATAACCCCGAGGGAATAAGCCCCATGGATCGGGAAGTGCAAATCATATTCCGGAAGGATATAAGCTCAAGAAGGGTTTCAAGGGGATGTGCAGTTAAGCGTCAGCAGGCAACAACTGGCGTTTGCCATTTCGTTGCGGGATTGCGTGCTCGTGGCATTAAGGAGCACCGACGGTGATCTCCTTCCGCCATTGGAGATGAAGGATGCATGCCGACTGCTCACATCCTGGGCTCTGCAGTCTCGAGCCCTTTTTTAAACAAATGAAATTTGAACATGTGTAGGGGAAGAGGGAAGAGGGAAGAGGGAAGAGGTTCAGCAACCTAGCTATCCAGGTGCCTTTTTTTTCTTTCTTTTTTTTTAAAAAAAAAAACCAAGGGAGAAAATCAGGCCCAAAAAAATACACACATCGAACTTCAATTTTCAGAGGGAATTCAAAGCCCCGGAACTAAAGCTCAGACGCAGAGGCGCGATGGCGTAACAAATGCAACATTGGGCACAAGAGATCTCAAAAGCTTGACACGTACCGTGATAGGGATAGCCTCGGAGATCGAGGGAGCTGCGGTCGTCTTCTATACTCTCATAGGAACTGACAGACAGACCGCCCATGCCTTCAGTCTGATCATAATCCATGCTCACGTTGCCAAACGGGACCAGCCCGGTATCAGCGTCAAATGAGTACTGTCGAGTCTTGGCTGCTGGGTCGTGACGCGACATCAAAAAATTGAAGTTCTCAAGTTTGTCAAAGACTGGACCTGGACCTGGTAAAGGTGGTTGTTCCCCCGGCATGGTTGAAGAAGGAAAGAAATAGAAAAAAGAAGTTCAGCCCCCTTGACCTTTAGGGTTATGTGAGTTGAGAGAGAAGAGGGGCTTATGATGTTGGAAACCCCAGATCAGGACGGGATTTTCTATGAAGCAAATCGGAATCACCAGTTAAAAAATTGCCTAATATAAAAATCAAGGCGAAAAAAGGTAAAAGAGTTTTTTTAAAAAAAAACAAATAAATAAGAGTGAGACAAAGTACTCTGTAGATGGGTAGAAAATACCGGGAAGTTGAGTTCTCGGCCACGATCTAGTCAAAGAAAAAAGGTCACTTCATCGTCGCATGCCGCGGGAGTTCCACCTGAACGAATTAAAAGGGAAATAAATGGAGTTGTTTTAATAAAAAAGGGGGGGGGCGAAGAGGAAGACGAGGAAGAAAAAGATGCTAGTCGATGATCTGATAGAATGGAGAAATGTCGTGATCGCGACTTCTGGTTCGTCCGTTGGGGGCATTCACCGCTTTGGATTATATATAGAGAGATTGAAATGTATGGGGTATATCCCGTCCATACGGGATAAGAAGGATAACCAATTTATAAAGTATATATAAGAGCTTCTCCAGATTCAAGATATCAAGCTCTTTGTCAAGAAAAAAAAGGGGGACTTTGATAATCCCCACTTACCTCGGGACCAGTACCTGATTCAAGTACAAGGTACACGAAGTACGACAAGGTACAAGTACGTAGTACCAATGTTATAAAATGTTATGAAATGTTATAAAATGTGTAAAAATTGTACGAACCGTAAGATCTGTACTAAAGTGCACGTAAGTGTATTCTATATCCTCCATGATTTGTTTAATGCCATTTCAGTGCATCACGGATGACGCGGACTAAGTTGCAGTGATACACCCCGAAGCTTGGCACCGGAAGCAAAATCCCCCCCTTCCCGCGCAGCCTAGAAACATTTGATCGTTTTTATGACAAACGTTTTTATGCTAATATTCATACTCCATACATCATTCAAGGCTTACTTTTCCTTTGCCTTTGAGCGATGATCTGGGAGGCGTCTTCAACCGTTAGACCTCGTACTCGATGCTCCACTCTTTCCTCCCCTAATATGGTATCTTCCGCAATGATCCGATAGATCTCAGCAAACCCTCCATAAACATCGGTGCCGACCCCATTCCACCCACCCTCCGCATCAAATGCCTCCCCAATCCCACGCATTTCCTCCTCCCACCGGTATGCCTTGGGACTCATACTAATCACCCCATTCGTCGCAAGCGCCGCAGAACGTGGAGAATACTCCTCCAACAACGCCAGCAATTCCGGCAACATCTCTTCCTTCTGCGCAGTGGAGAACGACAAAATAGACAGCGCGATAAGACCTTTGTTCAGCCCCGCGAAGGATAGTTTGAGCGTGGATGCGGCGCCAATCCGAGGTGAGACAAGCCTTATATTCAGGACGCTGGTTAGTGTCGCAAACCCAGGAGCCAGATCCACCAACCCGGACAGCACGACAGTAGGTTTCTTCCAGCTCCCGTCTTGCGTGCTTTGCGTTGGTGGCAGCCCAATGATTCCGCCATCGACGAAGTGGCACCCTCGGCCCTCTTCCGTGGTTGCGGTTGGTTCGCTGAATAGTGCCGCCATCTCCGACGCCAGTCGGGCGGGTACTGCGTTGAGCTCCAGGAAGTATAGCTTGGACCTCTTCGGCTTGCTTTCTACATCCTCTATTGCCTCTCGGAGACTGTCGGTCGGTGGCTGGGCGGATGCGTCTGCGATTCGTCGTGCGGTCGCTAGCGCGTTCCGCGGAGGTACGATCGAAAGTACGTAGTCGGCTTGGATTACTAGCGCTTGGTCTGTGGGGAGTATTTCGATGCCTGCGGAATGAATTCGGGCCAGTGTGTGTTCACTGGCGATCGTCAGTTTCTCGGGTTGCCTTTCCGTCGCTGGAGTCGTACCTTCTTCCTTCTGCGACCGTGACAACTCGGTAGTCGTGTGCTTTTAGGAGTCGGGCCATACCTAGGCCCATGTCTCCGATCGACACGATTCCAATTGTAACGGGTCTCATGATGAGTGAGGTGATTGTCTCCTGAGGTCTGTAGGATGGGTAGTAATATTTTTTTCAGTAAAGCAGCAAAACACCGAGTACTTGTATCAACACATACTGCGGGGTGCATGTGCTCCATTTGTCAGCGAGATATGACCTCGGGAATTCCAACCTGGTTGGTTGTGAATCTGTATAATATTGTTATCGACGGGTTATCGCGATTCCCAAATGTGGTATAACTAGAGACTAGAGGATTTAAGCTTATCTCCACCTCTTTGCCTGTCCTTCTAGAAAGCGGCTTCTAGATGATACGTCTATTATTAACCAGAGATGATAGTTCTTTGCTTATTTCTTACATGAAGATCAGACAATGGCTTGAGATACCCGTGATCACATAATATATACAATCCACTTCCGTACATGTTCTAAGATGGCTAGGTCCTTGCGAATACTTGGTACACCCAGGTACACCTAGGTACATGTACCTGTCAACCCACAAGTATGCAAGGTTCCAGGGGAGTTTGGGATCACGTCATTATATAGTGCGCGACTTTATTGGAATCGGGTGATCATCACTACATACTCCGTACTACACCTGGACATGTGCCTACATACCCCTTTTGCCCACTTTCGTGATCTCGATATTTCCCTATATGGATGCATAAGCCTAACCAGATGGTAAGATGGTCTAAACCACCTCAATCAATGAATCAAGTACTGCGAATCCTTCTTTCTCTGCCTAGTGACCTCCAAGGTCTCGAAATCGAAGCTTTGAAGGTGGTGATAACAAATGATCGAATTCCCAAAATTAGGTATGCTAGTAAAATAAAATCATAGGTGATACATTCTCCTAGGACTGTGACCCGTGATCTATGCAATTTAGAGCTAAATAGATATTCTACGCCCTAAGGGGTAGTCGACCCTAGGCCTCAGGCAAATAGAACGGGCCGGGCCCGAAGAATGACACCCTCCCATTGGACAGCGTGGCGGGCGATCACCAGCGGGCCCGAAGAATTACTTTATCCTATTGGACGGTGCGTCGGTGATCCGGCCCCGAAGTGAAATACGGTCCGCTGATTGGTTAGATCATAGGCATAGTAAACTGTTCAAGGAGTATATAACTACTGAGGTCAATTTCTGGTAGTATAACGTTAAGAAACTGAGCTCTTTATCTCAATATATCTGATACAAATTCCAAGATGAGCAACAAGAGCACAAGCGACTCTGACGAGGGCTCCCACGAGACGAAAGACCTCGAAGCAGCCAAACCCACAACCGTAACCGGGCCCTCTCTCGATGCCGATTCCATCAAAGACCCAGATCTCGTCACATGGAGCGGACCAAACGACCCAGAGAACCCCAAGAACTGGCCTAAGAGTACAAAATGGAAGAATACCTGGGCTATCTCCTTTTTCGTCTTCATCTCACCAGTCTCATCATCCATGATTGCCCCCGCCATGCAAGATCTCGGCAAGGCCCTTGGGATGCACTCCAATATTGAAATATACCTATCCATGGCGATCTTCCTCCTCGCCTACTCCATTGGCCCCACCTTCTTCGGTCCAGCTTCCGAGCTCTACGGCCGTGTACGTCTGCTCCAGGTTAGCAATGTGTGGTATCTAGCCTGGAATCTGGGATGCGGTTTCTCCCAGACAAAGTCCCAACTCTTTGCTTTTCGTTTTCTTGCGGGTATTGGTGGCAGTGCGCCGCTCGCAATTGGAGGAGGTGCCATTGGGTTAGCAGAATAATAAAATCCCCGAGAAATCCTACGTGTACTGACCAGTCCTGCAGCGATATGTGGAGCGCCGAAGACCGTGGCAAGGCCATGGGTGTCTATACTCTCGGACCGCTTCTCGGACCCGTAATTGGCCCCATTGCAGGCGGCTTTATCGCCCAGTACTCGACTTGGCGTTGGGTCTTCTGGGCAACCTCTGCCGCTGCCGTTGCGGTCCAGGTTGCCGGGTTCATCTGGCTGCGTGAATGTCATCCAGCTACGCTTCTACGCAAACGATGCGACGTCCTCATCCAGAAGACGGGAAACACCAAGCTGCATACCGGCGAGAAGGTAGAGACACTTGCCTGCAGGCTTCTGCATGCCTTCGAGCGACCTGTGCTTTTATTCACAACACAGCCCATCGTCTTCTGCATGGCTATCTACATGGCCTATCTCTTCGGCGTAACGTACCTCATGTTAGCGACATTCCCGGACATCTTCACAGAGGTCTACCACGAGAGTTCTAGCATCGGTGGACTGAACTATGTTTCCATTGCCATTGGATCATTTGCCGGTCTCTTCATCAATCTCAAGCTGGTTGACCAGATCTACAAAACCCTCAAGGCTCGAAACAACGGTGTCGGTAAACCAGAGTACCGCATGCCGTCATTAGCTGTGGGTTCCTTCATTAGCACCATTGGTCTATTCTGGTACGGCTGGAGTATCGGAAATACGCACTGGATCATGCCCAACATCGGGGCGTTGCTCTTCACCGCAGGCACGATCTCCTGTTTGCAGGGTATGCAGACGTATATCGTCGACAGCTACGAGACCTACGCGGCTAGTGCTATGGCGGCCTGCGCAATTCTGCGCAGTTTGTGTGGGTTTGGGTTCCCGCTCTTCGCGCCGTATATGTACTCGTCTCTCGGCTATGGTTGGGGTACGAGTGTTCTGGCTTTCATCACCATAGCTATTGGTTGGTCGGCACCTTTTGCGTTCTATTTCTTTGGGCCTAGGCTTCGTGCTATTTCTCGATATGCCGCAGGTTAAGTTGGGAGTGGATTGTGGGGTGTGAGGGGTGCGGATGTAGCGGATTGTCTAGATTTGTGGGGATTTGGCAGACTAGGAATTTGGCTATTTATGGCCTATAATGTGGGAATCAAAGGTTATGTGTACATAGGGGAGTCGTCGTGTACATTTTAAGCTGTTTTTGCTGAAGAAGGTAGAGAATATCTAAAAGAAAAAAAGAGCACCAAAAAGGACATCTCAAGACCGCGTAAGCAGCCGACTATTGTTTTACATAACTAATTATAAGCTCTATCTTACTCATTCTGACACTATCCGGGAATTTACTGTTTGAAGGCCACTCCTAACTTGTTTGGGTACAGATGCTGGATAGACGGGTGGGATTATCCTGATTTGATATCTGCACCACCTTCATTGGTCATGGAGCCAAAACTTTATTGCTGCTGTCCCATCGGTTACTGTTTCAAAGCGGAGGTGCATCATGATTCTTTGCTGACGGAAATTGAGTCAGAGTACTGCATTTTGGTAGTCGGATTCTGATGGTAAGATACGCAATACGCATCCAACGTAAGCAGTATGTAGTCCACACAAGTCAGAAGTCTACATATTCAAAATGGACGGGCTACATGATCTATAATCTAGGAAATTTTTGAGCGGCACTTCTAACAAACCTTTCGACACTAACCCATGCACAACCCATGCGCAACCCGTGCGCGCCCCATGCTGTCCGTCCCTTAGAAACACATCTCGGCTTTCCCTCCACTATTGGTCTGGATCCATCGTGGCGATAGCCATAAGCTACATCTAAAATATAAACCCTTCCCTCATCTCCCCTCATCGTGAATCAAAGCCCGATGGTGGAGGTCACCCACTCAACCTCGGCTAGTCCATCAACACAGCTGATCCCAGAAAACCCAATTCGAAGGGTCAAACCCTCCATTTAGATCCAGGCCTGTCCCATCAATGTTGCCAAAAACTTCATCAAAATCGCATCCGTCCGCGAGTTTGGTAATTTCCCCTCTTTCATCCATGCTCTCCTGCTGTCTGTGTCTGCTCACTTTCGGCTCGTGTTGGGTACACAGTGCGGTTATGAAAGTAGGCTCTGGGGCGGATTGACTTGGGGGATTCGCAAGCCAGGCCTTGAGGGTTAGCTTACCGATTGTGACGTGTATGGTTCTTCTGCCCTTGACAAGTTCTTCGTGATTAAAATACACATCTGCAACCTTGCCCCAAGAAGTATCAAGCTCAGAGGCTGAGTAGAATCCGACGTCTGCGATGCTACGTAGAACGCAGAGAAGGGCATCCCACAGGAAGAAAGCTTGTATATGCCATCGATACTTCCGCATGCTTGGGTTGCCGTAGATGGCGCTGGTTGTATCGAGGATCCTTGCTGCGAGCGTACAAATATCCCTCCTTTGCGCGTCTGTGATGGTTTGTGTCATCAGCAGCGGCATTCTAGCCCGCAGTCGAACAGCATTGGTCGCAGATCGGGCGATTCCCATGGTGAAAAAGTGTAAGGGGTTCAGGATATCGCAGTACCGAAGAAATTTAGTCTCGATAAGATCTTCAACCTCATCAATAAGTCTCTCAATGTCCTCTGCATCTTTGAATTGAACCGTGTTACCAATCCCTTTCAATTTGACGCCGGTTCGGGTGTAGAAATTCGACAATTCCATCCGAGACAAGCAAAAAATCATTTCTGTGGCGCTTCTTTGTTCGAGGGGCGGCTCTGTCATACCAGGGAAAATCTGATTATCGTTGATATTCAATGGTTGCTTAGTATCCCAGCTATTGGACGATAAAACAATACCACTGCCGGAAACCTGACTCGCATAGCTGTCCAGCGGAAGCAGTTGCCAAAAAAGTCGCCGTCGCATCTGAACCTCAAAGGGTGGTAATCCGAGGTTTTCACCATCACGGTGGAGCCCCATGCGTTGTGCGAGGCGAATGGCAATGCCCGTCAAAATCCATAACGTGTCAGAATCTATTTGAGCGCGCATAGCAATGAGGAATAGTGTGTAAGCCTGTAATACCGGTATTGATGTTGTTTTCAGCCACGACGCATTGATAAGCGCTTGATGCACAGCGGTCCGATATTTCGACATCAAATAGTTCCTCGGCTGGTTGAACTCTTGCACACAGTCAGCATCCGACATGGTGTACACGGCGAAATAGTATATCACAAAAAGAAGGCACTCGTCGCTCTTCGAGGCCACAAAGGGTTGCTTTGAAACGGTATCGACCATTTTCGCGACAGTCGGGATATGAAGAACCTTGCACAGAGGCTCCACATTTTGCACGTACGCATTCCAGAGCTTGGTCGCATCCTCATAACCAGGATGTTGCTCGGTGATACTCTGTGTGTGTCCGAGTATGGCCTCAGAGATGGTCTGTGCCGCGAGGAGGCCTAGTAAGCCCGTCGGGGTGCTCTCATTAGCTCCGGTATCCCCGCGATAGCTGTCATCCTGGTCGGAATCGGATACTTCACACAGGTCGCCCTCTTCAACATCAAGGAGGACACTGTCATGATAGCGAGACTTGTCGTCGGCGGACAGAAGTCTGCCCGAGCTGGCAGGTTGCGAGTCCGGCTTTGGGCTTGGGTTCCGCGTGCTGGCTGCTGATGCCTCTGTCTTTCGGCTATATGGGGTCGATGCAGAGGCTGTATGAAGAAGATTGTTGTCTCGCAATATGCGCTCGTACCGCACTAATCGCTCGTGCACATCATCGAACGGGCTTCGCTGTCTCTTTCTCGACGGGGGATCCTTGTAGACGCAGTGGAGCTTTGCTTTTCTGCAGCTCGAACATGCTGGGGCCGTCTTATCGCATTTGGTTTTCTTGCGCACGCAAGCTTGGCAGTTAAAGCGCATTGCAGCCATGTCGGGATCAGAGCCATTTTGGACAGCGACGGATGGTGTCTGAACCGGCGCGGGAGCGATTGGAACTAGGTGCGGGACGACAATATTGACATCCATGACTTGGTAGTACCGACAACCTCGGCGCTTCGCAGCTCTCCAGATGCTGGGTAAAATATGTATAATACACAACGAGTCTAAGCCTTGTGAGCCATGTCAGGAAAATCGATTCCACCACTCCGAAGGATAAAGAAAATTGGCCGTTGCGCCAGATGCAGTGACGTGATGATAGTGGTAGTTAGTGCTTCGACATCCCCCCCACCTCCCGAAGACGGTGTGGAGGGTCAGAATGGGGACTCCCAGGTACTTAGCACTTACCTTGGAAGACTATCCCTAGTGGAACTTCCATAGCTACATAATAAACATCTTTCTAGCTACGACACCGATGCAAAAGATCATCCAAAAAAGACATTGTCGTTATCTATAGCTATATGCACCGTCACGTCACTTGACCTTACCGCCCCATATCCTTGAGATCTGGTTGTGCGTTTCAACTTTCTACCTAAGATAATTTTTTTACGGCATCCATAACAAGGTACTTTGCATGTAGTACCTACTGCAAGGGTATCCTGGCAGAATACACGCCGGCTTTCAGGGCAGGATTTACCGCCTTACGTATCCATAGTATCATTGACACTGCGAACCTGTCACTGACACACACGCACACACATACACACACTCCATCTCACACGGATGACTCCTCCCATCCTTTATCCCTTTCTCTCAACTTTCATGACTTCGCTATATCTCTATAGAGATGGATGCACAAACCCTAATCATACGGCACGATGTTCTAAAGAATCTTCAATGAGTCAACGACTGCGAATCCTTCTTTCTCTCCCCTAGTAATCTCCAAGGTTTCGAAATCCAGGCTTATCAAGTAGGGATAACAGATGATGGGGTTCTACAATTTCACCCATGCTTTTTCCTGCCTCACCCGGAGAGAGACCTCCAAAAGTATCCAATACTCACTTCGCGAATCTCGGTCGATGACTGTCCAAAGTTGAATAACCGCCCAGACTTTGATTCTATTTTGAAAGATGTCCTTATAAGCAATCCAAACGCAGAAGACCCTTTCACTCTTGCTAGGGAGTTTTATGAGGAAGTCATGCTTGTGGCGGGGCCGAACGAGTGAGAGAGCTGTGCCCATGAAACACAGTACTATATGTCCTGGCATATTAGTACTTATCGGAAGGGGCGACCGATATTCTCTTCTCTTACTGGCCTTGGATCTCTTACAGCGTTATGGCGGTAAATAAATAGTGAAGATTTCTAGAGGTTTGAATGTATATACTGATATCAACTAGGACGAAAAGAAAGACAACCGGCCCTCAGACTTATGAGCGCGGATTTGGCCTACATTGGCGGATTCAGAGTCTCCTAGAAGATAGTGACGAAAGCTCACCTATACCACATGCGATTATGGAAACTATCGCACACGTTCCCGCAAATCATGCCGACCAGAGTCTTACTCTTCATGAAATAAGAGCAATTGTGAACATGATGCTCATTCGAACATCTCAGAGGCCCTTCCGGAAGTATGCTATCCACCCAGTAAGTAACTTACGCCGTATAGTAGCCCCTAAGTCTTACTAACCCTCTATCGCTACCTATAACTATATATTTATTAGTTCTCTCCTATATGGGCGAACAGCACGGAAGGATCATTCAAGCTTCATTTGATGGGGAAAATTTGGTTCTACAGTATTCTCAACTGTGGAGCTTCGAGGATGATGATACAGCACCGGTGGAACTCTTCATGCGCTACAATATAAGCCAGACAGTTGGGCTAGAGAGATCGGACGCTAATGTTCGGGCACTTGCGGAATCAGTTGCATCAATGAACTTATAATAAAGAAAATAGTCGCCCGCTTATGCGGCCTTGTCATGTCTTTTTGGTGGTCTTTCTGATAGTCTTTTAGCGGTCTTTAGATGGTCTTTAGATGGTCTTTTTAAGTGTATACGAAGACAGTAAAAATGGCATGCTTTGTGCAATAGACTGTTCTGTGTATAACCTTTGATATCTAAAACTAATAATCTAGCTCAGTGAAATAAAAGACAGGTGATACATTCAATGTTTTCTTGGAGCTAAATAGACGCTAAGAGTACGCAATTTACGCCTTGCATATTCAACAAGGTGGGTGTGTTGTAATAAACGTGCTGTTTGCCTAGAAGGTCCTGACTAAGAGTCCGAGCGCCCTTCGTTTTCTCTCGCCGGCTTCAGGTATGAGTCTCAGGAAGTCCATAGCCATGAGAGTACTTCAACCAAAAGTGAGAACAATCCAAGACCTCCATCTTGAACCCCAGATTTCACAGACGGCTCGCCAGATGTGTCACGTGTAAGGACTCGGGAACTGGTTTCATTGGTCCGAATTGGCAGAATTCTAACCAACCAATCTTTTTTTTCTTTTATATCTTAATCACTACTCCGTACTGAACCCATGATCATGATTCCTGGATTATCCATGGATTCTAGTCTACTTTTACCGTCCATTTGTATATCGTTCGCAGGTCTTAGACCACCTTTTAACGGGCACAGTAGTCAGCCACGTATGTAGCCGACTCTATCATTGGACGTAAGACTTCCATAATCTAATGTTGTATCTGTATCTCTTTATGATCAACTTGCAAGCCGGTGAAGCGATGGGCATAACCCCGCGGGTCCAGTTGGTCCACCAAAGTAACCCCGGCAGGAGCACAGAATAACGGAATTCGGGACTCCCGACATCCGCTTTGATTATTCATCTCTTTTTATTTTCTCTTTTCCCTGCAGATTCTGAACGTCTACCTCCTAGGTATAGATGGATATCAAGGAGAGATCGAAATAAGAAATAAAGATCTCCCGCTAGTCCTCCCCATTTCCGCCGGGGCGACTTTTCTGCAAAGTCTTGGCATGCACATTCATGACTCCCACGCAATCCAAAACCGTCAGCCATCAAGGCAATGAACCAGTCATCTTCCCAGAACTCATTGTTCATGGATTCTGCGCTATGGAGAGGACAACACCTGAGGGTGGGTTTCGCTTGTCATCCCGAGTTCCACTATTCCGGTGGACCCCGGTTTGGGGGGAATCCAGCATTGCTGACGGCCATATGACATCTATCTAGGCTTGTGAGATGTGCCATCGAAAAAAGACCAAGTGTGAGGTTCAAGGGTCTAGTTCAATTTGTATACAATGCATGCACCGCAATACGCGTTGTGTCTTTCCGGTCCAGCATGAACAGCGGGATGATTACCAAAGGTACAGCGATATTGATATTCATTACCATTCCCGATCTCATGTTCATCGATCATGGCTAATTCAATCACAGTAATAGCGAGTATGTCAAGTCTTTGAAAGACCGCCTCGTCAGGGTTGAGTCGTTATTGAGGATGGCAGGCATCTTGAAAGAGAGCGATATGAGCCAAGACGACCTTTCTGATGAAGATGATGACGGACCATTTAGTCAAGACCCCTCGTCTGCGTCTAGTCCAAAGTCAGACTTCGGGTCGTCTCTTCGCTCAAAAGGTGGTTTCATCGAGGGTACACCCATGTTCCCGGCGGACCAAAGAGATGATTCTCGATATTTCGGTGAGTACGGTCGATATGATACAAGACCCCCGTAGACTAACTCAACGAATAGGGATATCGTGCTCAATGTCAATTCTATCGCGAACTGGTATAGAGTGGATTAAGAGCAAAACAGGCGATGTCAGCTTCTTGCGGATTATATCTCCTGAATCCATTCATGAAAATCCGTGGAATCAATGGCGACCAGATGTGTTCCACGATCTGTTTGCCTCGAAAGTTTTTAAGCCTTTGCCCTCAAGGTCGGAGGTATTCTCTCTCATGAAAGATTTCTTCCGGACGGCCAACCGTCTGTTTCCTATCTATCTTGAGTCGTCATTCATGAAAATGGTCGAATGGCAATATACGCAGCAAACCTGTGATGATGCTGCCCGTTGGGCCAACATCAACATGGTAATCTGCTTGGCATACGAATATCGATCCTCGAATAGCTCCAAGTCAGAAAAAGACAAGGAAAAATCCGAGTTATACTTCAAAAACGCCATGTCGGTCTTCACGGAATTAGCCTTGAGACGCACCGATCTACTAAGTGTACAGGCTTTGATTAGCATGGTACGTTTCCTGCTCCTTTGGCTCGTATGAAAGCGTCTAACAATTTGCAAAGGCGTTCTTCCTTCGGGGGAATTCTGGAACTCAGTCAGCTCTACCGCTCATCACTGCGGCTATGCGGTCCGGTCATCGAATGGGGCTTCATCGAGATATTGCAAGGCCGGAACTTAGTCCGGCTGAGCAAGAGGAGAGAAGACGTGTTTTTTGGGTTGCGTTTGTCATTGATCAAAGGTAAGAGAAGCCCATTTAAACATGGCCTCGAGTACTAAAAAGAGTGTTTTAGTACATGCCTAAGAATTGGAAACGCTCCATCCCAACATCAAGATGATTTCGATGTCCCTCTTCCTGAAGAACTGGAAAGCGATAAGCATGGTGAAACCGCAAGCAACATTCCATTCTTCCGCGAGCTCTGTCGGATGTCGCTCATCAAGAGCCACATCTACAGTCGATTGTACTCTGTTACGGCATTAGAAAAGCCCCCCGTTGAAATTTACAAGACGGTTAAAGAACTATATGCAGAGCTTGAACAATGGAAACGTGAATCCCCAGCCCTCGTTGAGCCGGAAATGAAGCCCACTGAAAGCGACTTTCTGTTTGGCTTTGCTTCTATTGGTCTCCATTTTGTCTATCACAATGCTGTGATCATGATTCACCGGGTACCTATCTTTCTTAACCACATGATAAAAGCCAGAAAGGAACCAGAGAAGGTCCAGTCGATCAGCAAAGCACATGCCTTAAGATCAGCAGCCATTGGTGCACAGGCTGCTCGAGATACCTTGAAGGTTGTCAATAACATGCCATGGGGAGACATCGCATGGACCTGGTAAGTACCACAGTCTCCTGGTCTATATCAGCTTCATTTCTCACACTGAAACCTCAGGTCGTTATTATACTACGTCTTCTTGGCAGCATCAACATTATTCTCAAATATCCTACGTGATACTCGCCATTCAAGAGTGCAGGCAGACCTTCAATCCCTCAACATGGTGGCAGCATTCTTTGCAACTCTCTCCCCAGGCGAAGGACCAAATAATTATGCCGGTTTCATGGCCCGAATGAGCGCGGCCCTCGAACGCATCGCCAAAGTTGCTATCGCGAAAGATGAGAAAAGAGCCCACGCCCCAGACGAAGAAGACCAAGAATATAAACCACCAGGAGCCAAAAGGCACACTTCTCGGACACAGCCAGCACCACAACGCCAAAGGCAGCACCGACGGCCCACAACCCTCCGCACAACAATGACTCCCGCCACAGCTCCCAAGTATCCAACATCAAGCACCGCCAACTCCAACAGGATGGATATCAGCATCCCCGACACCCTAGAAGGCCTTCCGCCAATCAATTCCTCAGGCTACGTCGTCCCCATAAGCCCATTACCAGGCCCAGGCGACAGCAGCCAACCCCCAATTCAAACCCCGTATCTCGCCAATCCGCCCAACACATACTCACCTTCAACCGCATTCCTCCACGAAGCAGGCGACAACACCTTCCGGGCACCCCAAATTCCATCCTGGCAACTATCCCAAGACTTTTCTACTCCCACAGCCCAACCCCAACCCCAAGCCCCAGGTTCATCAGGCATGACCCCCAACCCCATAAACCCCATCAACTCCCCAGACTCCTTCAGCAGCACCGCCAACTCAATCCCCGATTTCTTCCAGTACCCAATGTCCGGTGAATGGGGCCACGGCGAGAATATCCTCGGCGGACTCTTCCCAGAATACGCTTTTCCGCCCCCAATTCCAACAAGCACTCAGTCTGCCGATCCATATCCTTCCATGCCGATTCTATCGGCTGAGTCATTTATTCATGGTGCGCCTGCTATTGACGGCCAGACGGCTCAGGCTGGTGGATTCGATCCTCAGAGTCTGGGGTATGGCTATGCGCCGCAGGGTCAGGAGGATCCGAATCAGGGCGCTGATGCGCGCTGGCCTAATGGGTTTTTGGGATTGTTTTAGGGATGCATCAATCGGTCGTTGCTTTTTTACGGATATCTTCTTGTTAGCGTTGTCGTTGCCTTTTTCCTAAACACAACCTCCCTACTCTCTTCTTTCTATATGCATTAGCCAGGATTCACGAGTGTTCATGTAGCCACTATTAGTGTGGTATAATATAAATAGATTTCAGCTTTGGAGGATCTCGTGTCCACGGGTGTTAGTGAAGATGGATAGGTTGTCGGCAAGTCCTCGTTTTTCACTTGACTTTGTTACAGGGAGGGGTAATGAGCCCTATGAGATAGTGAGACAATCTAAGATTCTGACTTGAAATGGAAATCAAGGATAGAAAACGAATTATCAATCAGTGGATATGAAAATAAAGACTAGGTATAAAAAAACGCCTAGCCAGATCCCGATATCAAGATATCCCATTGTCCCGTGCCATTGAACCCAAGAAGGGCATTGAAAAAGATTCATCCTGCGCCATCCTTCCTAGATGCAGACCCAACCCGTCCAATAACCCAAATCATAAAAAAAAACCAATATTCAAGAATTAAAATACAGATCCCGTGAGCGTGCGCACTGCCTTGCACCAAACGCCATTCCCTAACTGGACATCACCGTCCTTATCCCGACCAAGGACTTTGCTGAGAATGCTTTGCAACTCCTTGTCTGGAAGGCCGGACTTATTGCCTGTTCCGAAACCATAGACCTTCGTCGC